AAGGAAAATAGAGATCCTACAGAGTATGTTTAATATCAATGACAGAAGAAAAAAATACATTTTATACTTGCACTCCATAAAGCTTAAGCTGCTTTTAATGAATGGATTATGTATTAAGTACCTTAAATGCTCAATTACGCAATACAATGTGAGACAGAGAGAAAACTATGCAACCACGCCTTTCTAAGTTTTTACCTAAAACCTGATTTGCTGTTTTTTCCTTTTTCCTTTGTTTCTCTAGCAACTGGGGCTGCCTGCAATGAAGATGTTTGGAGGCCCTCTGTTCAACTTTTTTTTTTTTTGAGTTGGAGTCTCACTCTGTTGCCCAGACTGGAGTGCAGTAGCCGCTCCCAGCCACCGCAGCCTCGACCTGCTGGGCTCCGGCAATCCTTCCACCTCAGCCTTCCGTGTAGCCGGAATTACAGGTGCGCGCTACCACGCCCGGCTAATTTTTTGATTTATTGTAGAGATGAGGTCTCGCCTGCCCAGGCGGGTCTTGAACCCGCGGGCTCAGGCAATTCACTCACCTCAGCCTCCCAAAGGCGCGGGATTACAGGCTGAGCCACCGAGCCCGGCCTCTGTTCAACTTTTATAACAGAGAATAACCAAATATAAATGAGTCTTCTAGTCCAAGGGACATGTAAATCCTGTGTACAAGTTCAAGGATGTTGACTACAGACAGAAAATGTGGCAACTAAGAAGGGTTAAATATTTGAAGATGTTATGAGTCTGAATGTGTGGTGAGAAATTGATCTGAAATAGACTCTTTTTTTTCTCTTGGTATTTAGACGAATAGGGTAGACTGCTGAGCTAGATTAGGGGTAATCTGAACTAGATACAGAGTAAAAACTAAAAAAATCTCAGCAGGTGATGCCTAGCCACATGACACTGTGAAATGACAATGAAGACAGGCAAAATTTTGTGGGGGGTTGCAACTCATTGCAGAGCAAATGGAAAAGCTAAGATACAATACCCTAATTCTTTCTACTGTGTAACAGCTGTTACTATTACAATTTCAGATTCAATTTATGACTCCTACTTCATTTTGAAGTGGTAACTAACTTGGAAACTAAATACCCCAGAAATCATAAAAAACTGGCTTCTTCCTACCAGACAGTGTTAAAAAATATGTCTACAAGATGAGATAATAGGGAAAAATAGACTGAAAGGAGAGAATAAAAGAAACTAACTCACTTCTATTCACATGGGGCACTGAGAATAACAATAGTCCTCTAATGTTAAAAAATCCACGTCCTTTTTGGAGATTGCTTAATATGGAAAAATTAATAATTAAAATTGGATTTGATTTTCTTGGTCCAACTCAATTAATTGAATAACATTAATTTATCCAATTTCTTGCCCTAGTCCAGTGGTCTGCAAATATTGGTTCTTGGGCCAAATCCTGCTAGCCATGTACCTTTGTAAATAAAGTTTTATTGGAACACAGCCACGTTCGTTCATTATATTTTGTCAATGGCTGAATCCCTGATAATACAATGGAACAGTTGAATAGTTGCAATACAAAATGGAAAATATTTGCTGTCTGGCCCTTTACAGAAAGAGCTTGCCAGTCCCTGCCTTAGCACATGGAGCACAGCACTAGTTAGCGATGAGTAAACGCTGTGAGAACAGCTAGAGGCACAGGAAGCACATTCATTCAGATGTGGGAGTTATCGACTTTCAGCTCATGGTAAAACGCATGCACACGTGCTTAGCTCCTGGTAAAATTAAGGCTAAATTTAAAATTAGTGTCTCAATAATAATTACGTGCTATAGTCTCAGTGACAGAAGTTTTCAGTATGTGTGGTGGTTATATGGGGTATATTTCCAAACCTGATGCTCCTTTTTAATTATTGTTTAATCTATTTTAAAACATCTGGCTCAGAGAGGGGAAAGTGATTTAAACATTTTCTGTTTAATTTGCCAACCTTCCCATGCCCTTTTGGAAACAGCTTGTTTTGGGTCCATAGAGATTTGGATACTCAGAATAACCCTGCTGTATCACTTTTCTAAACTGAATTTCACTACATGCAATTTGGACATCTCTGAAATGAGCAACCACAGGGGTTTGAAAATTCTAGCACAGATTTATAACAAAATGAAAAAAGATTGGACACTGTCCAGAAACATGTGATGGTGCTCAAAGCAGAATGACATTTGCTCAGAAAAGCTGCTGAAGTGTTACTTCTCTTAATACTTTTCAACATGAAATTTGTGTTCTTTTGAACAGATTACATTCATAGACAGTATAGGGACAGCACTTTACAACAGTGAATTAGATTAGCCAAGCTACTAAAATTAGTGATGATTTTGTTTGCAAATATCCATTGCAACAACATTTTAGTTTGTAAACCTTAAAGTCTAACTCTATAGTGCTGAAACTGAGCACCATAGAGTTCATTACCTACCCCACTCTTGTGGCAAAAGCATACTTTTTTAGGTGTTATATCTTGCTATGCCACTATTGTTTTTACTTGTTGGGGAAAATAGGCATGTATTTCCAGGAGATATGGAGTAGAATGCTCAAGAGTGAATGTATGTGTGCATTCGTGTATTTTCTACTACTGCATGACAATACTGCCACCAACATAGCAGCTTAAAACACCATATATTTACTAATAGTTTACTATTAGCTTATTCTCAGTTTCCATGAGTCAAGTGTTTGGGCATGGCTTAAGTGGGTCCTCTGCATAAGAATCCCAAAAGTTGCAGCAAAGGTGTTGGTTAGGCTAGGGTCTCATCTCAAGGTCTGACAGGAGAAGGACCCATTTCCACGTTCATGTTGTTGATGGTAACATTTGCTTACTTGCAGTTGTAAGGTGAAGGCTTTGCTATTTGCTGGTTGTGAGTCAGTGGCCACCTTCAACTTCTTGGAAATCACTTCTTGGAAACCACCCTTAGTGTCTTGTCATGCAGGTTACCCCAAAAGGGTTGCATGCTTCATCAAAGCCAGCAAAAGAAGGAATCCTCTTGTAAGATACGGCTTATAATTCTATGTAATCTAACCACGAGAGTGACATCTTATCACTCTATTTTATTGGTTATTTATTCTGTTAGTAAAAATCAAGTCATAGGTCTTATCCACGTTCAAGGGAAAGGGATCACGCAAAGATGAACAACAGGAGGGGGGCAATGGGGACCATAATAGAGTATGTTCGCTATACATAGAAAGAGTGAAAACACAATTCTTGTCACTCTATAATTTCATCCATGATAGAGTCTCATTGAGAATATTCATTTTGGTTGAATGAAACAAATATTTCAGCTGTTAGAAAAGTCAATAGAGAAGATTCTTTTCTGTTTCTATATCACTTAATTGGGAGAATTGCAGATTCTTTTGCGGGTTTTGAAGGTTGCCTTGCTGAATAATTTTGGCATTACTACCTTTTGAAAAATAATTGCCATTAATGGGTTCATTGTAAAGCAGAATATTTACTGAGTAAATCCTTAATTTTGTTTTCTTCAGGAAAGTGATTAACGTCAAGGAAGCTATTTTCACTCTTAGCTCCCTCCCCCCGACTCTCCTTTAGTTTCTTTTTCTTTTCTTTTTTTTCTTTTTTTTTAAGTCAGAGTCTCACTCTGTCGCCCAGGCTGGAGTGCAGTGGCACATTCAGGATCACTGCAGCCTCGACCTGCTGGGCTCAGGCGAGCCTTCCACATCAGCCTTCCAAGTAGCTGGAACTACAGGCATGCATCACCAAGCATGGCTAATATTTGATTTATTGTAGAGATGAGGTCTCGCCAAGTTTCCCAGACTGGTCTCAAACCCATGGGCTCAGGCAATCCTCTTACCTCAGCCTCCCAAAGTGCTGGGATTATAGTCATGAGCCACCATGCCCAGCCTTCCTTTACTTTCTTAGAAATTCATATGTTGTACTTATACTGAACAGGTCTACATTGCTGTTATTGTACAAATGTACAAATCAAGTCACAGACTCAGGCAAAGTGAATCAGAAGCCAAATTTCTAGACGCCTGAAGAAACTATCTTTTCCTTTACTACCCAACCGTGCTTGTTTTTTTCAAATTTATTACCTTGACTTTATCATACCTGTCCAGTCCTCTGTTCCTTGTGTTTGCCATTTGGTTCTTTCTCTCTCTTCCTCTTTTTTCATTTTATCTCCTAGTGATCATTTCAGAGCTCATCTCTGCCTATCATTTTTTACCCAGCTTTTTGAATTTTTCTCTTTTCCACACTGTGTATACAGATGCTTACTTTTATGGAGTCATTACTGACTACTTGATAGCTTGCCCCTTGGTAATACTGAGGTGAATTAATTAAGCTATTTCCTGTGAGATTTGGTCAATTTTTCCTTGACTTGAATTATTATAATTTGTGCCTGTTTCAGCTTCCACTCTGTCATCAGTCCTAAAATGAAGAATTCTCAGAGGATTGAAGACCTTTGGGCATATGTTTACACTGTCCAAATGAGACTCTCTCAGGGTTGATTCACTTAAGACATTTTAGTGAAGCAGAAAGTAATTTTAATTAACATCTTCATAAACTTATAAGCATGATAAATCTGTTTCAAGGGGGAAAAAGATATAGTATGGCAAATAAAAAGAAAAAAACAGTTATAGGTAATTTTTTCTCTGGCCCTAATGTTAGAGATTTAAGCAAGTTCTTTTTTGGAAGAATAATACAAAACAAAAACCAATAAAAATTAATAAATACACCAAAACTATCAATGAATAATAACCTATCATTCATATTTACAAAAAGCAGGAACACCTTGGATCCATTTGAAATTGCCCAAATCAGGTCCATTTACCTAGTTACTTTCAGAGTCTTGAACTCTCTTGTCATTGGAGTCACAATATGTACATTTCTTTGAGCAAACAGATATTCACCACATGCGCCTTGCCTAGGTGATACATACAAAAACTTGGGGAGTTCTGGACCTTTTTTTCCCATCACTCAGATGACAATGCTGCTGGGTTTTGTTGTTTTAAGAATCTGGACTCATGTAATAGAGATTGGAGATCAGGAGGTGGTACTGACCTGATGCAAGCGCCATTGTTTTGGCACAGATGACGAGCACACCAAGGGACATGGCAGTTCTCAATGTTCCTTCCATGCTGTGCTTCATCAATGATGGAGAATTCTTTGTTGTTTACCTGAAGCTCCCAAATGCAGCCTCTGAACCCACAAATATGGCCCACATTCTTAGAGGTCTTACCATTTGCTGGAATATGGCCAAGGAACATGGATTCAAAATATACCTGCAGGAAAAGTAACAAAAAACCTTATTAAAAGGTGTTGTCAGATTACGTAAGAAAGATATAGGATGTCTGGATCTGTAATTGGATGTTTGAATGTGTTTTTCTGTATAAAATAGGTTGCTATTCTTGGCTAGTTTTGCCACTTCAACTAGATGGTGGGATATACTACTTGAGAAAAGTGTCCTTATTTTACATTTCTTTTTCATCTTTAATGATGTCTAATAATATTTAGCACAAAAAATAGGCACTCAACTAAACTTGCTGATTGATTACTTTGAAATGTATTTTTGACCTCCAGTGTTTGCATTTTAATGTGAACATTACCAAATAATAAATAAAAAAATCCATGTTAATTAATTATTGTTAGGGGTTTAATTATGTCCCTCCAAATTCTTAAATTGACATTCTAACCCCCAGTACTTCAAAATGTGACCTTATTTAAAAATAGGGTCCTTGCAGGCCTAATTTGTTTAGATGGTGTCAATCTGGAATAAGGTGAACCTCTAATCTAATAGGACCCTTTGGACTTTTAGAATGACTTAATAAGGACAAAAGTCTTTTTAGGACTTTTATAAAGAAGATTGGACACAGGTAATCGCGCATACAGGGAGAATGCCATTTGAACATGAAAACAGAGATCAGGATGATGGATCTACAGGCCAAGGAACATCAAATATTACCAGCAAACTACCAGAAACTATGCGAGAGACTTTGACCAGAGTCTTTCTCACAGTTATCAGAAGGAAAAAACCTTGCCAACATCTGGATCTTGGGCTTCTAGCTTCTAGAACTGCAAGAAAACCTGTTGCTTAAGCCACCCAGTTTGTGGTATTTTGGTATGGCAACCCCAACAAACTAATACAATAATATTATACTTTAAATGTCCTAAAATATGATACTTATGCTGCTTACATATGACACTCAGAAAATAAAAAATATTGCTTTTTTCTCCCAAAATATGAATATAAATGTGCATGAATAGAACTTTGCTTAGATTACATTCAATTCCTTTATTCAAAAATCATATCAAGAAAAGACTCCTGTTTTGGAAGATATAAAGAAACCACCAAACCTCAAAGGCAACCAACCCATTTATGACAATTAGTAGGATAAAGAAACTGTAAAATTGGGTTCTTGATCTACCTTTATGTAAATACTCCAGAACCACATCTTACATGGAAGTCAGTACTACAGTCTGCATATAAGATGAACATTTCATAGAATACAAGTTGCCCTTGGAAATCCATTAGGCATCATATTGGAGACTACTATGTTTTCTCTGAATAACTCTAACACAGCTATGTCTTTCTTCCAACTTTAGAATAGCTTGCTGTTTTGTCAGTGAAGCTGCAGGTGAAGCTGACATTTCATGCCATGTTGTATAAAAACTCTAGAACCCACCCCCTCCACCCACTATGTGGTGAAATGTACTACTATGAGGGACAAGAGGGAACAAATACTGAGAATAGAGTAAAATCACTTCTCACATTCTACGCTCATTGTAGAGCTTGTGCTCATTGGCCAGAATGATGCTAAAATCACTATGTGCACTTATGTGATTTAACATGCTACTTGATTTCGACTTTCCCACCCTCAGTAACATATGTAATTGAATCCTCATAATTTTGACATACATAAAAGCAACTCCCCTCGATCGGGATTTATGAGCTACAATTGAAGTCTCAATGTCCTGGTAATGAGACCCTGCTCTTTGGGGTTGTTAGGCATGTGGCAGGAAGATTCTACAACATTTGTGTGCGTAACATTTCTGATATGCCCATTCCCAAACATACTCTCGCACCTCAAGCTGGCATTTGAAAAGGATTTAAGTGGGTATCACAAATGCAATAAAATGGACAATTGTTATTGCCGGAATTAAAAAAACTAGAGCCAAATAATTAAGTTAGAGGTCTGGTGGGGAGGAGAGCGTGAGAGATGCCCAGAATTATCTCTTTACATTTGTACTAATATGTACTGGTTTGCTATGAATGTGCAAACAACAGAAGCATGCTTAATTCTAGAAACATCAAGGAATCTTCATGACCCCAAACAGGTCAAACCAGCTCTGCATTTGAGCTCTTTATCTTTTTTAAAGACTTAGTCTCTGTTCCTAGGGGTATTTCTTATCTGTTTATTTATTTATTTATTTATTTATTTACTATTTACTCAGTACATTCTATCTTGGTCCCAGAGGGTGTTTGTTTTTGGGTGCAGTAGGTTGAAGACCAGCTAAAAGTTTCACACAGCATAAGAGTATTTCTTTTTTTCCCCATATCCTTTCTTTTTCATATGCTAAGCCAGTTTATATTAATTATTCTAACAATCTATTAGTGGAACTTTATCACTGGCTAATGTAGGTGTTTCACTGTTAATACAACTTGGAATCTGTCAAGAACTTTCAGACTCTGCACATCCAAGGCATGACCTTCCTCTCACCGAGATCCTCTGACATCTTTGTGTGTTGATCGCACACCTGGAAAAGCAAACCTTTCACTGCTTTGACAAGTGTGCTTGTTTTAGCACAGAACTGATGGAGGATGGAAGAATACCCTCCTCTTCTGTCATCCGTAGGAAGATATGAGGGAAAGTCTATAGAGCTATCTATGATTTATTAGACCATTAAAAACAGCCAAACAATGGAAGTAGATGGCTCTTGTACCTCTTCTGATCTGAGGCCCACGCTTAGTTGGAGCCCTGAAATGTCTAAAAAAGCAGATGCCATTGACTGCACATAGATAACCATTAAAATGGTTGACTTCCTCTTTTCCCAGACTTTTAATTATCCAATAGGTGACTTTTGTGTGTATAATTATTCCTAAGGAGACAGGTCTGTAAAATAAGTCTTTTCTAATAACTCCTTGTGAATCAGACTATGAAGAATAAAGCCTGACATCAAAAAATGATTTCACAAGGTAAAGGCACGGGAAACAGGCATAGACAATCAAGGAGAAATAATAAAAATATAAATGGTAACTGAGAGAAAAGGATTTCACATCTGACAAGAATGAAACGAGCACTCCCTTTCCTCTCAGAATTTTTCTTTAAAGGAAGAATATAGTTGCCTTTTTATAAAATGAGTGAATGAAATAACTGAATAGGCAAGGGAGAAACAAACATCTAAAAACCAGCAGGATGGGGTGTGGGGGCGGGGCGGTGAATAAGAAATGGTTTGGTTTCATTTTTGTTTTTTTTAAATTTAGGTGTTGGAGTACTGCATACCTTTCTGTAATGACATCCTGATTCAATGTTTACTTTTATTTTACATTCTCAGTTCTGTCTGGAGTTAAATGACTTTTTGTTAATGAAATATGGGTAGGTAACTATAAACATCCTTTTTGGTTGAGATTAATTACCAGAGCATACTTGTCTTTAAGAATATAACTTATAAATGAAATAAACTCGTTCTTATTTAAGAGTCACTACCAATTTTTTGTTTTTAATATTCTCTGAATTGTATGCAAACAGATTTAAAGTCCAAAACATTAAGTCTTGGAATAAAGAGAGTAAGAGATGTTGGGTAAAGTGTTGCAGATGAAAGATTTATGTAAGTAACTTTTCACATGTGAATAAAACTTGAATTCTTAAAAACTATTTAGAGAAACTAAATGAAAAGGGCTAAAAACAGAAGGAGTACTTATCAAAATCCCCATACCTTTGCAGGTAAAAAAACCTCTTTCTTTCTCTTGCTTTGTCCCAATAAACCTGATAGCACACAGTCTCTTCTATATTAATTTATATTTATTTTTAGAACAGGGTCTAATTATCTCTGGATTCTCTAGGAGTCCACAGCAGTACCTTGAAAAGAGGAGGCTTTGTGTAAGTTTGTTATAAACGACTGTGTCATGAAACTCAGTCTTGCTTTTCCTCAGTTTCCTACATGTCTTTAAGGCCTTTTTTGTTTTTTTAAACTTTCTGCTGCCTTAGAATCTTGCTATTTTGCCAGACTCAGTATATGGGAGATCCTCAATGACCATTCTCCAGAAGGAATATCATCTTATCATTCTAATTTACCCTTACATAGAGTACATAGAATACGACACAGTGCTTATATGGAAATTATTGAGTAGTATAATTAATATAAAATAGTTCATATGATAAGATTAGCTTTTAGAGAGTTGATAAATATCAGTAAATTTCCTATTGGTTCCACAATTTAAAGTTAAATATTTGATCCTTAAGGCTTTCTAGGCTAGGAAATGTTTTCAATATAAAATAATACCTCCTTACCTTGTTGAAGGAAAAACTGAATTTTCAAGAGGCAATCAATGAAATTGAGTTGCTACCCTGTGAGCACATTGATCCAGGGAAACATAAATATGAAACAAGATGGGGAATTTTTCTTGTCTATAAAAAAACTGAATGTAATTTGGAGAAATAAATAATTAAAAAAAAGTGGTTGCAAAATAATAACATAAGATCAGCAAGATGGCAGAACAGGAAGCCTCAGAGCCTCTTTCTCCCATGGAGACACAGATGCAATGATACATGAACCAGTTTTCTTTGTGAGAAATTTAAAAGCAGTTAAGAGGCTCCTGCATGCCAGGTGAGCATGAAATCAGCCACATCAATGCTGTAAGAAAAATTTATGGCATCCACTTATCATAGTCCTTTCCCCTCCATATACAATGGCACAAAGAAGAGAAAACTTTAAGCTCCCAGTTTTTCTCTGGAAAAGAAATAAGAAGACTAAAACATGTCCAGCATTCAGACTCTTTGTGGGAGCTGCCTGAGAGATTGGTTTCTATCTCATCTGAATCAGGAAAAAGTACTGCGTTGAGAATCACTGAGACCAAAGGTGACAATTTGGCTAACATACACTCATTCGCCACAGTCTCTCTGTCTGACCCACCCAGAGTGAGAGAAAACACTCAATTTATGGCTTCTCTTTAGGGAGGTAAAAAATTGGAACGTGTCCAATGTTTTGGCTTTTGAGGGGGCTCTTGTCTCACTAGTTTCTGTCTCACCTGTCTCAGAGTGTTAATGGAACCTGGCATACTCTA